GTGCTTAGTGAATAAATTGTATACCTGTGTGAATACATTATAGGTGGTAGTATCTGGTACAATACTCTAGTCTTCGCGTATCTGCCAAGTGAGTGAAGTTACATAGTAAGATCAACGATTACACCATAGCAAAGGAAAGCTACGCGACAACTTGTATAGATTTAATCATCCAAGAATTGATTATGTAATTTTTGTTCTTTGTAAAAAATTAATTCCAGCACAAAGCAATCATCTTTATCAATTAGCTATAGGAAGAGTAAGTCCTTATTGGTGGGAGGATCTAAAAAAAGATTGGAAAAAATGTATTAAGCAAAGTAATTCTAATGAATGTTATTATATAAATACAAACTACTGGATATGTAGTTGTAAGGCATTTCTTTAGAGTAGATTTTTAATTTGCAAGCACCTTATTCAAGCAGTTAATGGTAATACATGTCGATTAATTTATAATGACTTTCATCGCAATCAGCAATACCCATTTTGAAGCATTGATGGATTAATGAATAGTAATGATAAAATTAATAGTGAAGTTCATATTTCTAATTTAATTAAAAGTGATGATGAAAATGATCTTATGTTGGAGGATATTAAAAATAAAATCAAAAAACATAAGCAATTTATTCAACATATTCATGAAGAATATGAAGCAGGTAAAAAACAATATTGTATTTTATAAATTAGTATGCAAAAGTAAAATTTTTTGATAATTTAAAATTAGTTACAGGCTTTCACTCAAATTACAAATAATTAATACATTTCGATATATTATTTTTACTACAAATATTTTAGGAAACATTCAACATGTAAAAGCATTACTAAATAGATCAAAAAGAATTTATACTATGATGGATGATATTCAAAAAGCACAAAGTAAATGAATTAGAGAATGTACATAGAAAGATTCAAAGCTCCATACTATGTTTTGCGATAAATAATTTTTATGTAAATTATAGAGTTATTATGTGTATTAACTTTGAAAAATTATAATATTGCGAGCATATTAAAGTTTAAATATTGTGACATAGGTTTATATTTTTTAAAAAATATTAGATGCTTTGTATTTCAATACCATTTTCATAATAATAAAAATGTTGAAATAACAACATATATATATGCTAAAGTAAATTTCTAATTTGTAAAGCTTTTAGTATTATAGAAGAAAAAGTTTGATCTTAAAAACTTATTACAAATATAAACTAATAATACTTTCATATTGCACGCATTTAAAAAATATACATAATAAAACTATATATCGAAATCAATAATTTCGGGTATTAAAATAAAAATTTATATGCATTTAATCGGAGTATAGCGGAATGCGGAAAATTTTGGGAGGTCGCTGTTACAGGAGCGACCGTCGATGTTACACGACTGACTTTTCACCCGGTGTGCAACATATAAAAAAACCATTTTACAATA